AACCAGGAGAGTCCTACCAGCAACCACACGCAGAACCCACATGGCCAACAGCTACAACCACAGGCCCCGCCGCTTCATTTTTCCAATAAACAGTTTTAAAATGACTTTATTGATGCTTCTTTAATGAAAAATCTACAACAAACAAAATAAAAAGACAAAGAAGCAGCCGAACTAGCAATCCTCAACAACTTTTTAATTTTTACACCAGGAGCTAAAGGTCTGTTTCAGGAAATCACATCCTCAGCAATTGACAGTTGTAGAATTAAGCTGTAAAAGAGTTCATACACCACTAGTTGGCAGTGTTGTACATATATTGTACATGAATTGTTGTTAGCTAGTAAGTGTTAAATTGAACTTGTGCTTTAAAATTAGCTTCTGCAAGTTTTTCTATGACATAAGAACTTTTGAAGTTGCGGACCTAAATATTTTCATAAGCGCTTTAGAAATTGCAGAACCAAAATTTGGATTAGTGCTGCCCACCACTGTAACCCTCATAGCTGGCACCTTTTGCTACAAAGTTTCCAGTGTGGAATTTATGTTTTCTGTCACCACTGTAAAGATTTTCTCTTAATACTCCAGTTTCTCAACACAAATCCTCAGAGTGAACTGTAAGACTGAACAGTGAGGGGAGGCCTGATTACTGGGTGAGTGCATCTCAGGCTGATGATCAACTGRGATGAGTTCACTGACTGAGGCAAGAATATCTGAGAGAAACAATGACCAATGACATGGGAGAAGAACGGTTAAACATACCAAAAATGATAAATTACCCAAATGAAAACACAAAAACAGATAAATGTTTGTGTTGTTGATGAGAAGTTGGTCTCTGCAGTCAATAAATGGGAGGTTCTTGGTGTGTGAGAAGAGTTTGTGAAAGACKTGATTGGTCAGGTTGAATATTTTGGGTGGGGTTTGAAGAAGCTGTAAACATTTGGTTGGATTAACGCCGGGCAGTAGGGTTGGGCAAAATCCCATCGTGTACAATTAATCATGAGTACAACTGTCAAAAATTAATATTTGCCACTTTGCAATTACTACAATTAGTGCTTTATGATGATGTGTTTTTGCGTATCCACTATCAATGACATGTGAGCCCAATGGCAGAGCAGCTAATGCTAATGCTAACCCTACAAACTTGTTAAATGGCCTGAAACAGCAGCATAAACCAGAGAAACAGGAAAGCMAAAAAATGTGAACCGAGGCCACAACGTTGCCACATACTAGTGTAATTGTTTTCTATCAGCTAAATGCCTCAATTAACCGTGATACATGTTTATGTCATTGTTTGTGTCTCCTTTTTGGATTAAACACCATTGTCAYCTGCACAGGTAAACTGA